TGGGGCTATGGGAATTTGGTGGAAAGCACGGACCAGATCGATCTTCGAGAATACAGACTTGCCGAATAGGGCACCGGCAAAATCCTGAAGATGTGGGACAGGGTAGCGGTCCGGGACAGTAACGTTGTTCAGGGCCCTGTAACCACCGCAGGGGCGCCAGTCACCAGTGGCGGCCTTTGGAACCATGTGGAGGGGTGAGGCCCATGGGCTTTCAGACTGACGGATGATGCCCATTTGAAGCATGTGCTCGAATTCGGCCTTGGCGGCAGCAAGACGTGTAGGCGTGAGACGGCGGGGGCGAGAAAACACGGGAGGGCCGGTGGTCCGAATGTGGTGAACAACGTCATGTGGTGGAATAGAAACGTTGAAGTTGGGACGAGTGAGGCCGGGGTATTTGGTGAGGAGTTGCCGAAATGGATTCTCGGGTTCAGGGTCCAAGACGGCAAGATGACGGGAGGCGTCGGAGGAAGAGATACCCCGGACAGTGAGGTTGGTAGTCTTGTCGTGTAGACGTGACTGACGGCAGTCGACCAGAAGATCGAAAGCGGCGAGGAAATCTGCACCGAGAATTGCACAGGGGATGTCAGCAACGACGAAGACCCAAGGGAAGAGACGCCGGAGACCGATGTCCAGAGAGAGGGAGCAGGTGCCAAATGTGGTAATAGGCGATATGTTAACGGCCTGTAGGAAAAGACCGGGATTGGGACACCGACGATCAGATGGTGTGGGTGGAATGACACTTAGCTGGGCACCAGTGTCAACCAAGAAACGTCTGCCACTCCTGGTGGCGCGGACGTAAAATGTGTGACCAGGGTTAGAGCTGTCGGAAAGATTGCTTGCACTGACCTTCCGGTTGACCGGTTTAACCCGTTTGCTCTGCTTGGAAGTGAAGGAGCAAGGAGAGATGCAGCGACGGGCTTTAGCACCGAAGGTGATGTGGTACCAGCAGGTGGCAGCTGCGTTTGGACGGGCTGAATGAAAAGACTGGGCATGCGGGTTGGATGGCTTCGGTTGGCTCCGAGATGAGGTAGAAACTGTGGGCTTCTGGAGAGCGGCTATATCATCGGCCAGCTTGTTGAGCTGGATCTCTAACTGCGAAACGGGAGACGCAGGAGGAGTTGAGGGAGTTGAGAGTGCTGAAATAGACGGCTTGGAAAAACCGTGCATCTCCATAAGCCGATCAGCCATCTGAGTAAGATGCGTGGCCGAAAGAATGCCGAAGGCGGGTGCCAAAATATGCTGCACTTCTGGTGGAAAATTGTCCATGATCAACACTTGACTTTGTCGTAGATTAGGAAGAACGAAGATTGCTGCTCGTAAGGGGGTCACCAATTGTCGAAAGTTGTGCGGTCGACAAGATAAAGATTCCCAATCAAAAGTCAGGGAAGACGGTTTGAGTTGGACAAACTTTACTGCTTGGAAAGCGTGTACACAAAGGCTGTGTGGGCAGTCGCCGCAAGCGTGCTCCAAGCAAGCTGTTGTCTGTGTCCGCCTTCGAGGTGTTGTCTTAGCGCGTGTGTGCGCCCTTCGTTGTCTCAATCTCGCCAGCCAATCAGAGTGGGGGCAGCGTTGATTGGCTTCGAGCACTCGCGCATCCCAGCAGCATCTCGACACGGAGTGTGAGGCGGACAGGACGGCAGCGTGACAAAGGCGGAGGGTGAGGAGACGCGAACCGCCACATGCTGGCGCCTACCCTCTTCAGTCTTATGTTCTCTGCCATGCTGATGGACGCCTACCGCGACGAACGCCCCGGGATCCGCATCGCCTACAGGACGGATGGTCACCTCCTGAATCAACGGCGGATGCACTTCTAATCGCGCGTATTCACAACCACCGTTCACGAACTTCTCTTCGCCGACGACTGCGCCCTGAACACCACCTCGGAAGAGAAGATGCAAAGGAGCATGGACCTGTTCTCCGCCGCCTGCGAGAACTTCGGTCTGGTCATCAACACCCAGAAGACGGTGGTGATGCAACAACCGCCACCCAACTCGGCCACAGCCCCCAACGCGCCGCCGCAAATCAGCGTGGATGGGACGCAACTGCAAGTGGTGGAGAACTTCCCGTACCTGGGCAGTACTCTCTCCCGCAACACCAAGATCGACGACGAAGTCGCCAACAGGATCTCGAAAGCCAGTCAAGCCTTCGATCGCCACCAAAGCACAGTTTGGAATCGCCACGGTCTTCAGCTGAGTACGAAGCTGAAGATGTACAAGGCCGTCATCCTGCCGACACTACTGTATGGAGCGGATACTTGGACGGTGTACGCAAAGTAGGAGCGTCGTCTGAACCACTTCCACCTCAGTTGTCTTCGTCACATCCTGAGGCTAAAGTGGCAGGATCGAATCCCCGACACTGATGTGCTGGAACGGACGGGAATCCTCAGCATCTACGCCATACTGAGACAAATTCAGCTGCGCTGGAGCGGCCACCTGGTGCGCATGGACGACGAGTGACTACCCAAACGACTCTTCTACGGAGACGTCGTGACGGGTTCTCACCGTCAAGGAGGCCAGATTTGCCGTTACAAGGATACCCTGAAGTCCTCCGTGAAATGCCTGCAAATCAACCCCGCCAACTGGGAGGAGCTCGCACTCGACCGACCGACCTGGAGGAGGACAGTGAAGACAGGCGCTGCGATCTACAAATCCAACCCCATCGCTGCCGCCAAAGCGAAACGTGAAGCCCGCAAATCACTACTTCGCCCAGTAAGCAACGTCGCCGCACAACCGCTTCCAACGTATCCCCGATGTCAACGGACATTCCGGGCTCGAATCGGACTTGTTGGACATCTTCGGATTAACTGCGCCTCTCGAACGGCACCAGCCATCGCCCCCCGCCTGCCTCTTCCTCCTCCTCTCCGCCGCCAACTAACCCTGACAATTCTTCTGACCCACCACTTCCAGCATCATCATCATCATCATCATCATCATCATCATCATCATCATCATCATCATCATCATCATCATCATCATCATCATCATCATCATCATCATCATCATCATCATCATCATCATCATCATCCTCGCCCACTGCTCCAACGGCGGCCGCTCAGGCGACTGTCCCACGCACAGCAACCGACACTACCACCACCTCCCCGACTCCAGGGATGAGGATCAGGACTACACCTGCCCTCACTGCGACCGTACCTTCAACTCACACATCGGCCTGGTCGGTCACTTGCGAATCCATCGCACAGAGACTGGCGAACCAGTGCGTGAAGCACCAACCTACACCCACCGCACTCGTCTCCACTGCCCACACTGCCCTCGCACCTTCAGGCATCGCATGGGCCTTTTCGGCCACATGCGCATCCGGGAGAGCGGCCTTGACCGCACTCCCGACACGCCCACCACATCCAACACATCCACCGTGCACACCCCCGCTCTCGTTCCATCGGTCCGCGCCACCACCACCACCACCACCACCACCACCGCCTCCTCTGTAGCTGACACTGACACCGCCGACTTCTCATGCCCACGCTGTCCACGCACATTCACCTCACGCATCGGCCTGGTCGGACACTTGCGAATCCATCGCACAGAGGCTGGCGAACCAGTGCCTGGAGCACCCACCTATACCCACCAAGCTCGTCTCAACTGCCCACACTCTCCTCGCACTTTCAGGCATCGCATGGGCCTTTTCGGCCACATGCGCATCCACGACGACCTGCGGTAGAAAACCGCCGGCCACACCACACATTCACTCACTCCCTACCTCCTCCACCACCACCATCACCCCACCAGAAATCAACACTCACACACCTCATGCACCCAACTGCCACCTCGCATCTCGACTCGGTCCCCATGCGGCTTCGGCTGCACGGGTGACTTGAGTCCGAGACTATCCCGACACGTCAAGCGTCGTGGATAGGAAGGTTGCTGATTGACGCCCGCTCTCGGTTCACGCAGTTCGTCGCGTTGTGTGTGTGTGTGTGTGTGTGTGTGTTGTGTGGAGTGGCGGAGTGGTGGGCTGGGAACGGGCTGAAACAGCACCTTCCACGGCACTCTCACGCAAGTGAGAGACACACCGTTCAACCACCGTTGTGTGAAATCCTGGTGTTTGTGTGTGTATGGGGGGCCAGGTCCTGCCGTGGCGCGCGCAGTCATGGTCAGTCGACCATGACAGCCACCGCGCCCATTCCCCACTCCAGTCTGCTGACCGGCTCGGACAGCGGCTGGGGTGTGGGTGTGGGAAGGGAGAGTGAGGTCGACGACTCAGCGCACTTTCTCCTCACTATAAACAATCTGACGCGCTTGAAGCTATCACGGTGTGCTAAAAGCCGTGGCTTGGAAGGTTGCCAACTGACGGGGTATCTTGGACCTCCTCCTTGACCGGAGGCGGTCTGAGAGTCAGGCTGCAATGGCTCCTTTTTAATGTGGCCTTTATGGCACTCCCATCACAGTGTGGGATCCGAGCCAGGCGTTGGCGGCACGCCCAGGTGCGGTTTCTGCCGTGTCAGCCTCCAAATCTTTCCTGTGTTGGTTGAAATCCTGTTTATTTGTTGTGTGGACCAGGAAGTGTGGTGGAACGCCAGGGTGAGGATCCGTCCGACCCATCCACCTGCGGCCTCTCTCGTCTCCGGTCTTCTTGACACTGTCTTGACACCGGGCTCGGGCGAGGGAGGAGGAGAGAGTGTAGGTAGATGCTACGCAAGTCTACCGGCACTATAAACCTCTGCGTAAGTGACCGTCCCTGCTCCCATTGCTGCTGCAACTGTGGGGCACACGGTGGACATCATCGAAACCGATTGTCGAACTGTCACTAATGGAACATTCCCTCTATCTGTGTATTTCTATCATGACCTTTTTGCAAGTGATCATGCATTAATCCATTGTCGCCTTCCAGTTGCCATTTCCGCAAAGCCAACAGTACAACGTAGTGTTTTTGACTTTGCTAATATTAACAAGGAATTAGTAAATAACTTTACAGGCACTCATGATTGGCACAATATTTTTTCAAATAACGATGTAAATTTTTTCAACAATTGATTACAATGCGTAACAGAAGGTCTTCTTGACCTTATTCCCCGAACGATGTTCAAATCGAGTGCGAATTCCACCGCTGCCCCACACTTTCTTAAAAACAGACTTAAAAAGTTACGGAAGCAGTTTAAAGATCCTTCTGTGAGCTCATTATCAGTTCATCTAAGAATCATCGAAATATTTGAATTAGCTTCGAAAATGAGGCTCGTGCGAGATAGGCCTAGAGAGTCTTTAGCTATTAGTGACGTGTACGCTTCTAAATCAGTTGCTCAGATCTTCCGTCAAAGATCATCAGCCGGGAGCTTCAAATGCGCCAAAATATTGCCGTCATTAAAACCGTCGGCTTTTCCGTGGAAGAAGTCAGACGCGTCCTCAGTCAAATAAAACCTGATAAGTCTCCTGGACCCGACGGAATTCCCGGGCTGATAATTAAGGAGCTATCAAGGGAGCTGTCAAAGCCTCTTTCGACTCTCTTTGAGCTGTCAATGAGAACAGGAAGGCTGCCCTCACAGTGGAAGACAGCTAACCTCGTTCCATTGCATAAGGGAGGTAGCAAGATGACAGCAAGCAGCTTTCGACCTATTAGCTTAACTTGCCTCCCTTGCAAAACGATGGAAGCTATAGTAAAGAACGCTATACAGCAATTTTGTGAAGCAAATAACATCTTGCAGGATTTTCAACATGGCTTCAGGAGAGGACGTTCCTGCCTCTCAAATCTGCTAGCTTGTCTGGAAATCTGGACCAGGGCTCTAGAAGAGGGTTATGAGGTCGATGTCGTGTGCATCGATTTCCACAAAGCTTTTGACACTGTCCCACACCAACGTCTTCTTCACAAATTGAGCGACATCGGCATCCGGGGGACCTTCTGAACTGGATTAGGGCGTTTCTGGTTGGTCGGAAACAACGTGTCTGTATCGGGGATGATATGCCAGAATGGGTGAATGTGACCAGTGGTGTGCCGCAAGGCTCAGTTCTGGGACCATTGCTCTTCATCCTTTACGTTAACGACAGCCTTCAAGAACTCGACTGCGGCAAAATAATGTTTGCAGACGACGTTAAGCTCTGGCAAGTCATTAAGGGTCCAAATGATCAGAGATCCCTTCAAGATAATCTGCACCGACTGCAAGCGTGGTCGAAGAAATGGCTTCTAGATTTCAATGTGGAGAAGTGTGCCGTCCTTCATCTGCGTCCAACCAACTCTCATTCAAATGAGAGTCTGAGGACTTATCACCTGAAAGATATAAGGCTCCCCGCAGAATCTTCACAGAAGGATCTCGGGGTTTGGATACAAAACAACCTGAAACCAACACTGCAGCGCCACAAGGCTGCAAAAAACGCCATGGGAGTGCTGCATGCAATAAAAAGGGCTTTCGTAAATTTTGACCAAGACCTTTTTGGGAGAGTTTACGGCACATTTGTTCGGCCCCACTTAGAATATGGCATACAAGCATGGCGGCCATGGCGGGTAAAGGACCAAGAATGCCTCGAACGGGTACAACGGCGTGCAACAAAGCTGGTAAACGGTCTAAAAAGCCATTCCTACACAGACAGACTGAATTGCCTTAATTTATTCCCTCTGTGTTACAGGCAGCAAAGAGGTGATCTTATCCTCGTCTACAAGATAATACATGGCCTTGAGTATGGACTTAAATTTGAGGACATGTTTCAGTGGCATCTTTCACCCAATCTTCGTGGTCACTCGATGAAGTTACGGACAACAATGTCCAGGCTGAATCTTCGTTCTGAGTTTTTCACGCAGAGGGTAGTGGAGAAATGGAACGATCTCCCTCAGTCAGTCGTGGAGGCTACATCCCTGCAACTCTTCAAGAAACGCTTGGATGATTATTTGTGTCCCCTGTTTTCCCCCGACGGTCTGAATCTGAACTAATACCCCTGGTCCCCACAAATATTTCCTGTGAGACAATGCTACTCAAATGAACCAAGTACTCTTTTTATAGTGAATATTTTTTGTTCGTGTACAGTTATTTCTAACGAGCTGACATGTAATCAATAGGGTTTTAAAAGGCTTTGCCTATTATCCTTACCAAATAAACTGAAAATAAACTGAAAAGTCCCACCAATTCATTCCGCCTTTGCTTAGTACTAGCGATGCCTTTGTTACAGTGGAGTCAGACAAAGCAGAAATGTTAAATTCGTTCTTTGCCAAACATTTCACCATTGAAAATGACCCAATCCCTTTAATTCCTCTGTTGTCTGATGCTTCTCTTAGCATCATTGATTTTTCTCCTGAATGTTTTCAAAAACTGATAAGCCATCTTCCTAACTCTCACTCAGTGGGTACGGACAATATCCCAAACTCTTTGATAAAACAGCTAAGAGATTTTCCTCCTCTGCTTAGCAAAATCTTTTCAGTATTTCTCGTAAATGGCTTCTTCCCTGACTATTGGAAAACTTCTATTATTATTCCAGTATTTAAGT